TACAAGATGATTAAGAATAATAGCAAAATTCTGGGTGGCAAGCATTCTAGAGGAATCATCTCATTTACCCTCCTATCAGCCCTCATCTATAGATGAGGAAACAGACCTAGAATTGATTAGCGACTTACTGTCGACCCGCTGCTCTTATGCGGCAGAGCTGGGTCTGGAATCCCTGCTCTGAGGCTACCAGGACAGGCCCCTGATTAACTGGGTGGTCTTGAGCAAGGCAGTTCTCTGCATTTTAGTTTCCTCCTTCACAAAATGGGAAGAGAGTCGCAATGGATCATCCAAAGTGAATCTTCCTCCTTATTTCCTGGCATCCAACAAACCTGGCTCTCCTGTTCCCACCCAAGAGGACCTTGGGTTTACATGGTTCCTGCTCTGATCTCAACAGCAGGCTCTTCCTGGCCTGGTCTTTCCTGGCTGGGGCTGGCCTGATGACGAACCTATAAACCTTGCAGCAGGTTGGAGCCCCTCCCATACCCAAAGCAGTGCTGCGTTTTCATTTGAGTTTCTTCTATTTCCAGCATAGAGTTCAGCTTCAGCTTCTGGATGTTTTTGTGAAAGAAAAGAAACTTGTTGTCTGGGCACTCGGTTTTAATTTTCTGTCCTCTTTGTTCTTAGGCATGTTGTAGATAGCTCCCCTCTCCCAAGGATATTCTACTATATATTTCCATAATTTTCCTGCTTTCCCTCTCCATGAAATGCAAAGAAAATAACTGTCAACTTTTTTGCATATATAAATTTTAACAGCCCATACATGTCAACTAATCTTTTATCCAGGAAGGAAAGGCTTATTTCAAGTGATTGAAAGTTGAAATGCTTAGGTTTTTATTCTTGCTGTGTAATGGAACACTGTGTGGACACGCCACGTTATGATTAGTTTATCAGTTCCATTCTCCAAATCCACTAACTCTAGTGAGTGCCTACTATGTGCAAGGGAAGAATCCCTATTTTCAAGAAATGTATCTTTTACCAGGAAGAGTAAGGCAAATGTTCAACCAAGGACAGCACAAAGTAGATAAAGTATGCCAAGGGCCTTAAAGAGGGGTACCAAGTACAGTTGACCCTTGAACAACACAGGTTTCAACAACACACGTCCACTTATCTGTGGATTTTTTTTGATAAATGTAGTACAGTACTCTAAATATATTTTCTCTTCCTTATGATTTTCTTAATAACATTTTCTCTAGCATGCTTTATTCTAAGAACACAGCATATGAAACATATACAAATTAAGTGTTAATTGACTGCTTATGTTATCAGCAAGGCTTCCAGTCAACAGTGGGCTATCAGTAAAGTTTTTGGGGAGTCAAAAGTTATACGTGGATTTTCGACTGCACGGTGGGTCAGTGCCCCTAACCTTTGAGTTGTTCAAGGGTCAACAGTACTAAGTTCAAATATTTGGTTTGGGGTAAATCAGAGAAGGTTCTACAGAAGAGTTGCCTTTTAGAATGGACCTTGAAAGAAAGGTAGGGTTTCAGTAAACAGAGAAGGCAAGAAGAGCATTTTGGGAGACGAGGCAGAGGCGACTGTCCCTGTCTCCTGCACGACAAGCAGGAGGAAGCGTAGGAAGCAGCAGCACGTGGCATGGTCTGAGGATTACACATGGATTGCAGGGATTATGTAAGGATGTAAGGCAGTTTGGCAAACTCTGCATGAGTGTCACACTCCCAATCCTCCACCCATGGAAGACAGCATTAATTAATCACAGCCCACACCTTTCCAACCAACCTCAGGAGTTCCTTCATGAGATGAGATCGATTTGCCATCCCTGGTGCAGGAGTGCAGAGATAAGTGAGGTAGAGCCTTGAATACCGTGTTGACTAGTTAGTAGTTAATTGGATAGGCAATGGGGAGCCATTAAAGTCTTGTAAGCAGGGGAGTGACATGGTGGGAAATGAGAGCTGTAGTTCAGGGTAATTAACTTGGCAGTGTTATCTGGGATGGATTAGAACAGTTGTAAGACTGAAGGCCAGTTATTTGGAAGGTTACTTTAATGGTGTAGGTGAGCCATGCTGTCTGGAATTGGAGTGGTGGCTGGAGAAGGGAGGGGCACAGGTCACAGAGTAGAACTTAAAGCCCTTGGCAAGTAGGTGAAGATGTGGAGAGCTAGGGCCAGTGGTGAGAGAGAGTCAAAGCTCACTCTGAGGTTCCCAGTAATTACCTTGGACTAAGAGAACACCAACTAGTGTTACCATCAACAGGGGAGCCTGGGACTGGCAAGACGGTAGGGAGAGTCCTGGCGAATTTGGGAAGGAAGAGAACAGTCTGCAAAAAGTGGATTTAGGCTTGTCTCTTCTACACAGCAGAGATTTTCCAAGCCATCCTTTGACAGGGAACTCAGTAGTGCAAAAGTAAAATAACCATTTTTAAGCAAACACTGTTGCCCTTTGTCAACCAGCAGATCTAAAGAAGGCTTCCATCTTTCCAAATATTTGAAAAATTGGAAAGCCTTAATTAGTAAGCAGGCAAGGGGCATGAGGGAAGGAAAATATATAAACCTAATCACTGTGCTTTCCAGGTTTCAAATGCTTCCCCCAATCCGGGGTAATTTACACTTTAGTAACAATGATTGACAGTCAAGGAATGTATCTAACTCACTTTTATTTTTCCCTTGGGGAAAGCACTTTCGGTCCCAATTGTTTTAAATTGCAGAAGCAGTAATTGTTTTAGAGAGTTGGGAGGAATGGCTTTTTGGAGCTGGAATTTACCGCTGAAGGGAATATGGATTCTATCTTAATTGACTAAGGTCACTAGGGCCATTTTCAGGAAGGTCTTCCCAGGGTGAACAAATACCAGCTCAGTCAAAGGAGAACAGCAAAGGAACCAATTGAAGGAAGGCTCAGGGGACTAGACCTAAGCAGAAAAATGTTAATGCGTTACTACTGGTACCTGAAAAGGAGCCAGGGGTATTTTTTTGAGGCACTTGTATCCCAAATAGAACTGTTGGTGAAATTAATACGAAAAATTGCCGCAAAATGTTTTAGAATAAATATGGAGCAGTGGATATATTTTGAGATACTCACTTCCCCAGAGGCACTCGCTTATTTATTAAACTATGCACTTTGATATATTTGTTTACTTAGGAAAGTCAAGAGTGACAAGCTAGGTCAATTGCATCAAGAACATTATTAACAGGCTAACCAATTGTAAATGGTGTGAAGGCTGTTCTGGAAATCTGTGCTTTGATGTATGGGGAAACCCACACATCTGATTTGGGATGGAGGAGACAATCGTGGCATTGTTTGTAGGCGCCAACAGACAGGCTAAAGCCAGGGATCCTTGCAGAGACTGGATTAAGGTATCAGAACCGTTCACATCTCATTTACATCACTCCGAAGAGTGGACCACAGGTTTTGCTGATTAACACACAGACCATGGCAAATAGCATTGTGTATTTGAAATCAGACCAAGATCAGTAACATTAACACAAACCATGTGTGAAGTTTGGCATATGGAGGTTCCACTTAAGCAATTATCTAACCAGGTTCTCCCCCACCCTTGTTTTCAAAAAGCATTTTTCCAAACTAGGAAGGTAGAGAAAGCAAAACGTTCCCTACTTCTTTTTCCCATCCCAACCCCCTAAATACACATATTCATGCCACCTTCTGGTATGTAATAATATTTTTTATTGTCAAAATTTGTGAGCTTTCTGAAAGGAAGGTGGGAGTGTGTGTTACAAATGTACTGATTTCATCGGTGTCTGGGCAGGCAAAAAGAACTGGTGAGTTGAGTACCGAGGCAGAGGAGGCAGGCTACTGCCCCCTGAATGTTTTCCACTCACCCAATTTATTGTCCCTTCATACTGGAGTTTGGGGTCAAGGTAATAGGGATGCAACTCTCTACTGTCCCTGGATTTCATTAAACACCTACTATGTGATGGTTGTCTTTCCATGGAAGGGAGGTGTAGAATGACGTCTACAACGATGTCACTTATTAGGAGCTGTTAATTATCTGGATTTTATCGTCGAGGCATTATTAATGCCTCTGCAGCGTATCTTTTTACGGTCGAGACTGTACATTTAATAGCAAAATTACCGGCGGGAATTGACAATTAGCAGCCGCACATGAACTGGCTGCCGAGTGGCATATTTCAACCCGCTTAGATAGTCACCAACCCAACAGGCCAAAGTTTTCTTCGGTGGAAACTGCCCTGCCAAGTGGTTTCTGGATCCTTCTCCGAGGAAACAGCGAAGAAAGCTGAGAGCCACCTCTTTCAACCACACCAGAAATTGCCCGGCCATGGCGATTCTAGTCCCCAGATGGGTTTTTGACACAGATGTCTCTCAAACCACGTCTGGAAACCCACTGGCCGTCCCAATCCCCGAAGTAAGAAGTGCCGCGTCCCCCCTCCCTCCACCACCTCCACCTCCACCCCACTCCATCCTCCTCCTTCCTTCGTGTACCGGCCCAGGTCGAATTCCTTTTTAGTCTCATCCCCGGTCCTGGGCGGGCCGGCAGGGAGCTCCCTGCGATTCCCCCAACGTGGATAATCCCTCGTGGCTGTTCCCAGGCTGGCTGCGTGCAGAGGGGCACGAGTTCTGTTCCCGAGCGAGTCTCAGAAGTAGGCACGCCAATCGCCTCGCCGATCTCCATTTCGGTCCCGGGGCCGGGGGCAGGGGAGGGTCGGGGCAGCAGAGCCTCTCCCCCGCTGCCCCCTCCCCCGCCCTCCCCCCATTGGCAGCCAGTCTGCGGCTCCCGGCCTGGGGTCCGGAGGGTGTGGGTGTGGGTGTGGGTGTGGGTGTGGGGGCCGGCTGGGGAAGCTCTCGCTAGCGCTGCCTGTGGCCAGACCCGCCTCCCAGCCCCTCGCGGGCGCACACGGCCGCCCGCCCGGACACACTCCGCGCGCTCCCTCGCGCTCCCGCCCGCCCGCCGCCGCCGCCTGCTCTCTCCCTCCTGCTCTCCCCGGTCTCTTTCTCCCCCCTCTTTTTTTTTTTTTTTTTTTTTTGGTACCATAGAGTTGCTCTGAAAACAGAAGATAGAGGGAGTCTCGGAGCTCGCCATCTCCAGCGATCTCTACATTGGGAAAAAACATGGAGTCAGCTCCGGCAGCCCCCGACCCCGCCGCCAGCGAGCCGGGCAGCAGCGGCGCGGACGCGGCCGCCGGCGCCAGGGAGACCCCGCTGAACCCGGAATCCGCCCGCAAGAGCGAGCCGCCCGCCGCGGTGCGCAGACAGAGCTATTCCAGCACCAGCAGAGGTAGGAGGCTGCGAGCGGGGCTGAGGAGGGGGCGGCGGGCGCCCGGGAGCGGAGCGGGGGCCGGCCGGGAGCGGGCGCCCGGAGCGCGGGGGCCGGGGCCGCGCGCGAGCCTGCGGCTGCGCCCCGAGCCCGGGGAGCCCCCTCCCCTCCCCCCTCCGCCCCCCGAAAATGTTGCAAACTTTTGCAGCCGGTCCTCGGGTCTGCGGGAGGAGAGGGGGGCGGGGGCGGCGGCCAGGAGGGCTGACAGCCGGCGGGCTCACCCCCTGGCTTGGGTTTTTCTGCAAAGAGAGGAGGAAAGCCGCGTAGCCCGAATGAAATACGCTCCCCCAAAATACGGAGAACCGGGGAGCGGGGGCCCGGGAAAGAAACTTTTAAAGCGGCAGTGTCCTTTTAAGAAGGAAGGAGGCAAAAAAAGAAAAGAAAAGAAAAGAAAAGAAAAGAAAAAAAAAATCCGTTCATGGCCACCCTCCTCCCGCTTTACCTCTTCTCCTCTTGACAGTTTCGGCCCCGGCTGCCCCAGACCCGGTGTGTTTTCGGCACCCCCCGCCCCCCGCCCGCCGCGGAGCTGAGGGGGTGCGGGAGGAGGGAGCGACCCGGGGAGTCCCGAGGGTGGAGAGGGGGCGCTCCTGGATCTGGGGGCGACGAGGGCACCTTCTCCGGAACGCGGCGGGTGGGTTTGGGGTTTGGAGGAAGGGCTGGAGAAAGCGGGGTGCGGGCGCGTGAGGCGCTCGCCCAAGTTGTCCGGCGGGCGCGGCGAGGGCAGAGGCGCAAGTTTGCAGCCCCCGGGGGTTCGCAGCCCCGCGCCCGGGCCGGCGGGGGGCGTGTGCGCGCCAGCGCGCGGAGGGCGGCGGTGCCGTGGGGCGCTCCACGCGCCTCCCGAGTGAGCGTCTGCGAAAGCAAACAAGCAGAAACGGAAAGACCGAAAGGCACCCAAACTTATTTCTGCCCTGGGAATCCTTCCCTCTCCGAGGTTCCAGCGTTTCTGCAAGAACCTGGGAATGGTCAGCGGAGAGTTGAATGCTGGTTGGATAGATGGTGCGAGAGATGCGCCCCCCTCGCCTCCCGCCCCCCCAGCCTCGCCTCCCAGCGATCTTTACACTTCATTTTGGAGAGTATGAGCCGGGGTAGGGGTGGGGTGGAGGGGGGGCTCTATTGCCCCCTCCTTGCTTTTTCCTAAAGTCGAGTTACTGGGGGGAAAGCTCACTCTCTTTCTTAAAGGTGTCAGAACCTGATGTAGGGTTTTTTTTTTTCTTTTTTTCTTGGAGGTGGTGGTGGTGGGGGATTATTTATTTGATTGCGCCTGGAAGTTTGCAAAGAACAGGGGGAAGCTACGGCTTTAATTACTGTTGTAAATAATGTATAAATCACGCCTGTCACTCCGGAGGAAGCGGGCTCGCGCGAGCAGCCCGGGGCTGGGGATCCGGGGATGGAGGATCTCCGGCCCGGGCTTGGGCACCGGCCCCGCGCGCCCCCTCCTCCTGGCTCTCGGCTCCTGGCGGCGATGGGGGGGGGGCTGGGGAGCGGCGAGTGGGGGCCCGGGAGCCGCTCCCTTCCTCTCGGTGTTACCGTTGGAGGTAGGAATATGGCTGATCATGTGCTGGCTGTTTTACAGTATTCCCCCCCCCTTTAGCCACACCCCCTGTCCGGGCGCTTTCCCATTCACGGAATTCGAGTACAGTAAAAGCCATCAGGATGACACACACGAAAAACATTTAATTAAAGGCGATTTCCGAGGAGTGAACACGCCGAACCGCGGTTTCAGCGGGAGGGGGTGCAGTAAGGGCCGGGAAGGGAGGAAGGGGGATCAAGGCTGGGGGCCGGGTCCTGCCGCCAGCTCGGTGAGTTTGTGTGTGGAGAGCTTTTGGCTGCAAAGAGTATATTTAGACCCTGAGACGGTGGATTTGGAATGCGAGCGGGTTATGTAACAGGGTTAATCAGAAACACTGGAGAAAATCCCCTTCATGTGTTTTCTGAGTTTTTTTTTAAAGGGGGGGGTAACATAGTATATAGGAAGCCACATTAATTTCTAGTTTGTGCTGTCACCCCCCTCTCTCTTAACCTCCCCCTTCCTGTGTGTTATTAGCATCTTCAGGTGTCATTCTTGCCAGGAGGTGTTCTTGCAAGAGATCAGGGTGGCAGGCTGCAGAACCGACTAACAAATCCGTAACTTGCTGTTCTTGCAAATTATATAACGCTGGGGCATTCAGTACCACTAGCCCCCTAGGCTTAGCAAAAACGGGAGAGGGACAAAGTAGAGGTGGGATGCATCTTGCCCAGCTGACCTGTTGACCTTTGTCCCCTTGCCCCCTACAGAGTCACCCTCCACTCACTCTTCTTTGAACCAACCCGTGCCCATCTCTCCAGAGATTTACTAGGGGGAGGGAGAAGAGGTAAGGCCCAAACACTCAACTCACATCCTGCACGCAGGCAGTAGGTTATGTAACAGTCTGAATGGAAAAAGGAAGGTCAGAGATGGAGGCATCCTTTAGCTAACACAGCAGTAGTAATAGCTTCCAGAAATTATGTGCATTTGCAGACTTTAACCTCAGATGTAGTGTCTGCTCCTCAGGGATACCAATCTGTGTGTGTGTGTGTGTGTGTGTGTGTGTGTGTGACCTAGGGAGAAGAAGAGAGAATGTGTAAGTATGCCTGGTAGATGAGAGTGATTTGAAAATGGGAAATGTTTGGGTTTTCAGATGATGTAATGGTGTTGGCAGAAAGTCGGCTCCCAGAGTGTAAGCAGCAAGAAAATTGGAGCTGGCATCCAGTATTAATGTCGCATAAATTACAATATCGGAAAGAAATTAACCTACACACTAGGTGATTACGCCTTTTTAATACTTAAAACATAAAGGCACACAACTCAAAAGGAAAAGCAAACATCATCACCTTATAATTAGCATTTTCAACCTCAAGGAGGATTGAATGGAGCTCTTGGCATTGGGTGAGGTGGGAAGCTTTTGGATTTGGGAGATGCTTTCCAGAGAGGTAGAGGGGTTAGCTTCCAGCCAGCCGGTGTTTGCGGTCCGCAGAAATTGTGGTCTGGATTCTCATGACATTGAGGTGACCTCATGAGACATTACCTGGGTAGACTCGAAGCTGTTATTGAATACCAGACTCCTGGGAATCCCCGTGTGAATGGGCCGCGTACCCTTAGTGCCTGCGTTGCCAAAAATCAGTTGCGAGACTTTGTGATCTGAAAGACACGCCTTCCTTCCCCGTGTCCTTAAGACTAGCAGGGAATGGTTAGCCGTGGTCACGAAACTGTCCCGTTTTCTAGGTGGTATTAATGATGGCTGGTGTCATTCAGTACCAACTTTACAGCACAATGAAAGGCAAGAAAGGCAGGAGGCAACACGGGGAGTAAGAATGAAACGGAAAAAAACCACAGCGAATCTTTAATTTAACAAGGCTTACGGGGACTTCAGGGAGCCATAAACATTGTGACATAACTGTTGTTAAAAACCCTTTTCCAGAATCTCGTTATTATATGCATGCCAGAAGCTTACATATTTTACTTCCCTAAAGTTGTCCTCACAGGGCTGCGTGGCACGCAGTTGGCTTGGAACACCAGGGTTGTAGGTTGAAGGCTTTTAGGGCAGGCCGACCTCAGGGAAAAATCGAAACCAAAAGATGGGATTAACACTGAAAAGCTCAGTTGGGTTGAGATTGAACCCCCTGGAAGCTCAGTTTAGATTGACTTAAAATCAGTTAACAAGGCCTGTAGTTTTTTGTTGCCCTGTGAGGACTTCTAGAGTCACATAACCAAAGTGCTTTGCCTCCAGGCCCCCCTTCCAGTCTTGGCTGATTCGCTTTCTGGTAGGTACCCTTCTTGCCTGGCAATTTGTAGCCTTTTCTAGAGATTGATTCTCAGATCAACTTTTCTAACATAGACCTGGCTCTCCACAGTGAACAAGTGATGCCCCATAGTTTGAAAAGAGCTACTGGCTGGGATAAAATCCTTTGCCAGAGGAACGGAATAATTATTTTTTAAACTAAGGGACTTTAATTTTCCGGTAAATTGCTCATAAAAACATTTGTAATTATACCCTCAAAAAATGTAATGGAATAATTTTAGGAAATGCATTTGGTGATAGTTATGATAACCTCTTCTGTTGCTTCCCCCTTATTTCTTAAGAAGAATTGTGTTCTTAATCCAGAAGTCAAATCCTGAGTAGCTAAAAACGTGTACAGCAGACTCCTTATATGTTAGTCACCTGCTGGAATATTCCAGAACCTACTAGCGTCATGAGGAGCCTTGGCTTTAGAGACTGTCTCCATTTCCATTTCCAAAACTGGAAATATGGAGTCTTCATGGACGCCCTCACCATGAGACCCTTCAGCATGTGTTTTCAAGGCAGCAGAGGTGGTGGTGTTGGTAAGGGGTGTAGCACACGCTGCTAATTCCACACCAGGCTCCTAAGTGGGATGTAGGGAGGTGTGAGGACATTATTTGTTGTAGTTGTGCCTCCAGGTGAAACGTTCTGGGGATTTTTGGTGACAGCCGAATTGCTTTTGGAAGCCATCTGACCCCTGTCCAGAGCTAACCTTTGGAATGCAAGTGAGACAAGCCCGTGGGTGCTTCTCCTTGGGCTATACTGTTGTCACTTTCTGACTTAAGATGCACATTTTTCTCTACATTTTCCCATTTCTGATTCCAGAAAGTTGTGGTATGTTGTTGGAAGGGCAGACTGAGTTGGATGTCACTGGAAATTCTGTTTGTGTGGTCTCTTACAGCAGATGCCTCTTTCTTTCTTTCTTTCTTTCTTTCTTTCTTTCTTTCTTTCTTTCTTTCTTTCTTTCTCTCTCTCTCTCTCTCTCTCTCTCTCTTCTTTCTTCTTCTTCTTTCTTTCTTTCTTTCTTTCTCAGATTTTATTTATTTATTCATGAGAGATACACACACACAGGCAGAGACACAGGCAGGGGGAGAAGCAGGCTCCATGTGGGGAGCTTAATGTGGGACTCAAACCTGGGACTCCAGGATTGCGTCCTGGGCTGAAGGCGGCAAACCGCTGAGCCACCCAGGGATCCCCAGATGCCACTTTTTCTGAGAGCACTCTTCCTCTCTGCCCTCATCTTCTTAGTCTACTTGATGAGTTGTGCTTTTTAGGTTACATGTGTCCTTACGTGTTTATGGAAGCGAAATACATAATGACATTTCAGGTGTCTGGGGACAGATTGTAGTGTGACCGCCATGTGTGCAGAAGACTAAATTTGGTAGAAAATCCAGCTCTCTTCATATGACTTAACGTGCTGCTGCTTCCCCTCTTTGTCTTCCGTGAGCCATTGTTCAGGTACTTTGAGGTAGACGTCATCTACTCCCTTGAGGAGATTCCTGACCACTAATATCCCAGATTAGTGATAGATTCTTCTAGAGCAACAAGAGTCTGCTTTGAAAGGCCTTCAGGTACCAGAGTGAATACTAACCTAGAATGTAGAATATCTTTCTGAATATGAAGACTGTCATCCTGTTGAGAATATTAGGAACAGTCTCTCTCTCTCTCTCTTTCTTTTTCTCTATATGGTTCTCTCTTCTATCATTAAAAAAAATGTTTTGTGTTTTTTAGGGGAGGTGCCGATTATGTGTGTGTGTATGTGTGTGTGTGTGTGATTCATAATCGGAAGTGTTGGTCTGGAAACGAGCTGTTCAATTTTTCACCCACCTTACTAAACCGTATGTTAAGAGAAATAAAAGTGAATCATTTTGAATTAATGCTTTGAAAAAAATTCTCCAGATAATCAGTGTTCAAGTGTTGATTAATATACAGTAAAGCGTGATTTTTCTATAAGGGTACCAAGGCATTACTAATGAATTAGTTTTTCTGGTTAACAGTAGATTAACCAGAAATCTTTTCTGTCTTTCTCTTTTTTGAATTTTTTTTTATTAATGTGCTAGTCCCCTTTCCTACCCTAGAAAGAACATTGGGAATGTAATTGAATCTTTCTTTGAGGTTTGAGGATCTTACAGTGCCACAGGGTCACTGTTCTGAGGATGAATTCTGATTGTACATTATAGAACTGTGAATGGAGACAGTGCCAGAGATTGGACTAAATCTGCCCTGATCCCAGCTTGGAAATTGTTTTCTTTTTCTGTTAAATCCTCGATGTCAGTATGTTTTGTTAGTTGCCTTCCTTGGCCTCTGACTTGCAAGGAGCAAGGCAGACATTCACTTTAATTAGTTGACTAGTTACTTGAGGTTTGTACTTTCTAGGAAAATTTCAACCTGAATCGAGAACCTTAATTTTTTCCCTGCAGTTATGGTGGATGTAAAATCACTCTCAGATGTTTAGGAAGGCTGTTTTATTTACAAAGGAGTTATGTAAGGTATTACCGTAGCATTATGTAACTTCTCCCCCTACTTGTAATAATGGCAAATAGAAATATCGGCTAATTTTGCCTCTTCCTTAGATATGTTGAGAGGGTATCACAAATCCTAAAAACTAACATATTCTAGGGTTTGAGGGAAGACTTTCAAGAATATCAATAAAGAACGTTTAAATTCCCCCAAAGGAAATTCTCCTTTCAAGTTTGGGCCTTTGTTCACTGGGCCAGTGTGGGAAGCATGCCCAGGAGGGCACCATCAGAGGCTGACTTTCTCAGGGCCCTCCCACTTGACTTAATGATAGTCTGCGGTTATCTTCTGGCATCTTTGATGTCACAGCATTGCAAATTCATCTTAGGAGTCGTGGCATTCTTTTGTGACAGCCCAGTTATTATTATTATGATTATTTTGTTTTTGGAGTAAGGACATCAAGGAGATTGTCTAGAGAAGTCCATAGGAGAGGGGAACAGGACGTGATGAGGAATAAATGTGCCACATCTTGTGGCTCGCTTTTTGCTCCCCCTTTAAATGACAATGTGAAAAGGAGTCACAGGTACCAATTTCCATGTGTTGGTAGAAGAACGGTCTCTTGTTGTTTTTTCCTAACAGACGTTTATGACCTCCATTGACAGGTCATTATTACAGACTGTCCTAGCACCTTCTGTGCTATGGCACATTGACAGTGGCGTGGCCCTGTGGTTTCCTGGTGATTGTCTCGTCCACAGAAGTGAGGCCCTGGTGGCCAGCTGCAGGGCCCTCTGCAGTGTCCACCACCAGTCGAGAGTACAGGTCTCCCACGCCCTGAAAGGTGCCAGAGGACTGCAGGCTGTGCCAGGAAGTTTCTGTACCAGCACCGTTTGCCCCGAAGCTCAATCAGAGGCTGGAACTGAGTAGGAAGCCTTATGGCATAGAGGATTTATAGTCTCCCAGCCTCGAATCATCTCTAGCAACATTATTGGGCATTTGAGTTTTGATTATGAACTATCTTAAAGTTATTTTTTTTTGAATAATCAGGAAGTTCCTCCATCCATGAACAGACCGTAATAGATGTAATAGATGAAACTCTTCTGGGGTGCAAGGAAGGGTGCTACTTAGTACAGGATCCTCAAGCCTGTGAAAGAGGCAGCGCACTGTTAAAAATACCTAGCTTACTTCGGGGGAGGATTTGGCTGAATGCTGATGAAGTTTATGAAATATGAATGTAGTGAAGTTGCTGTACGTAAGTGGTAGGCGTGTGTGAAAGAAGTAAGAAGAAATAAAATTGTGTATAAATGACACTCTGAAACTTGATGGAATTGTATACGTGACAGGAATGGTGACGTTTGGGTCTGTGCTTAATGGGGGAAAATAAACTGGCTTAAAGTCTATATGTCAAACTAGATGGGGGGCTAAAAATTATAGAAGATAAAATTATTGGACTTATTTTATGAGCGAAGGATGATACCAAGGATAAATAGGCAGATTGCAAGTGGTAGAGGTGAAGCAGAATAGGGGGAAAAAATGAGGAATCAACGCTTGAATTTATAACGAGCTATGGTAATCACTGTTTTAAATAATCCCAACCATTAACTACTGTGCTGCTAGGTAGAGAATTAGTTATAGCCAAACAAAAAGCATAAATATGAATTTTAGGTTGTGTGGGAGAAATCCTCTTGATCCCCAAAGCATAAATGCATGTACTGAGAAGCAAAGCTACACACGATGTAATTTTTTCTGTCTTATCCCAATTAATTGACAGCCAACTGTATGCCTCTTTCCTGAAGGTGACTTTACAATCTCCAGACACAGACATTTCTCTCAGAAGTGGAGTGAAGGAAGGAGAACCACAAGCTAAAGTGTGTGTCACTGGGTGAAGTATTTTGGGGGGAGAGATAAGAAGGGTACAGTAGGGGATCGGAGCAGTGCATACAGGGATGAAGAATGCCTGTTTGGGGCTGGGGAGTGGGGGCTGTGAACGAGGAAGGGAATCTCTAGAGGGAAGGAGACTTCTGTGCAAAGGAAAATGAAATTAGCATTGACTCTGAAATGGCTCGGAATGTGACTTTCTAATTTTAAATTATCTTTAACAAGGGCAATGAAAAGAGGAAAAGTTGACACTTTGAGAAGTTATGATGAACTTGTCGAGAATGCCAATTGACAAAGGCAGGTAAGGGAATACTTGGAAAAACAGAACAAGAACAGGTCTGAAGGGCATGATGATCTGCTTCCTAGCGTGTTAAGGGAATTGGCGGGCATGTTTATTGACTCTTCCAATTAGTTTTAAAGAAACCTGAAGAAACGGACAAAGACGGAGGAAAGACAACCAGATGTGATTCTGCTCTTCCAGAAGCAGAGAGGCTTTTCTCATCCCATATGATCGATGCCAGTCCTGGGGAAGACTCACTGTATAGCAGTTAATGGATTTTCAACATACCAATCACAGAAGAAACAAGGGTATATTTAGCAAGTCTAAAAACTCTTCAATAAACTGCATTGCTTTTCATTTTCACTGTACAGTCATAAAGCCAGGGGATGGTAAGAAGGCCATGGTAATGATACAGCGTGTACTCCCAAGAACATTTGTATGATGGGGATATTACGTCTGAAAGGACAGGGCATCTGGGAGGATGAACTGCCCATAACTCTCAATTGTCCAGGTAATGAAGCATTGGAAAGCAAACGCAAATTAAATACTTTGATAATCAAAAATGATTCTTCTTTTAGTGATCATATTAGTTGACTGATGGTGACAGGTATGAAATTGCGAGTTGCGTGTAGCCATTTCTGGCACTCGTGGTCTATTTCTGATGAGCATGTTGATGTGGAACATGGGAACCCAGACGGTTTCTATAAACCGGGCTGTGAACCCAGAAGATGTAAAATTTTACAGCGTGAAGGACAAAGGTTGAAGATTAGTGAGGCCCTAAAATTTCTTGAGGCCTTACAGATAATCAGTTGGAGAACTGACGCTACACTGAGAGGCTCTAGCAAGTCCTAAAGCTCGTTTTTCTCACCTCGAGCTTGAGGGTGCTAGGTGTGTGCTAGGTGTGTGGTGCTCACTCACCATGCTGGTGCTGGTGCTGTTTTATTAGCCCAAGGCCTGTTGGACGCAGAAGCGGCCTTCTAAATCATCTAGCCTGGCCCTTGTCCTTTAAACTGATGCTCACAGAGATCTAATAATGTGTCTGAGTTCCCATTCCTAGTAAGTGGCAAGACTGTGACAAGAGTATGGGTCATCTACTTTGTAGAAGTGTTCCAGTGTTCCTTGCCTTTGTGTGCTGTGCCGAGATACTCGGAAATTCCAGCAGGTACAGAATCAATTTCCTGAACCCCTTTCCCCGTCCTGCCAGGTAACCCCCCTGAGGATATTATGATGCATACACAAGTTAATCCAGCATGAGGTAGTTGACATCTCTGAAACTCAATGCATGTGACGTTGGTTGTGCGTCAGTAATGGAGCATTATCAGTAATTGTTATGTTTTCATATCCCACTTTGAATATTATATAAAAATTAGCTCACGAACTGGTGGCCATGTCAGTAAAAGCATTCTGAAGCATAGTAAAAATAGTGCCTGTATCTTATGCACTGCTGATTCCGTAGAAAGTAAAATAGAGGCTCTGGAAGGGAGCGTCTTGTCATCGGTGCCAGCCTGAGCAGTTATGCTCGCTAGAGCTGGATGCAGCCAGAGGGTGGAATGGAGAGGCTGGCTCTCAGCAACTGCCCTTTTTCCTCAAGGCAGAGGAAAGGCTGTGTCTTTTATAAGAGATGCTCAAGAGGAAGTCCACCCATGGAATACTATGTAGCTAGTAAAAATCCTATTCCAGTAGAAAAGTATCTCTTGATAGGGGAAAATGTTTGTCATCTATTAGTGAAAAGTAATAACCTTCATAGCAGTGTGCCCAGAATGACATCATTTTTGTAAAAAACTATAGTGTGTGTATTAATATGGACCAACGTACACCTTAATAATGAAATGATAAAATGGTTATTTTTAGTGTGAGTTTCTCTTTTTTTTGTGCCCTTCTGTATTTTTTACTTTCCTGCATTATACATGTATTACTTTTGTAACTAGAAAAAAATAAATCTTATTTTTTTCTAAAAAAAGATTGTTTGTATGTTGTGAAACTGGGGGTGCGTTGAAGGAACTAATTCTGGGCTTCGTATGTCACACAGAATTGCTCAGTATTTCAGGATGGGCCAAGTTTACTGGCCCCAAGAGCAGTACCTTTGACAGTCGCTTTCAGCCAGGATCGTCAGGAAAACAAGGTTCATTCAGCTTGCGTGTGAAAAGAAGCATCCAATATTGGAATTTATTGCCCTTTAGGACAATATCTTTGAGGTGTTTATACTGTGATCTACAATGAGAAAAACATACTACATTGTGACCCAGTACACACACATGTGCGCGCACACACATGCATGCGTATACATACCACAAGTGCATGCAATAAACTTTTCATGTAAAATATTTATCCTTTACCTGTGATGCACTGTTATTTTTGCTCTATTATTTAAAGACAAGATATAAATCATGAGCCACCAAATTGGTTTCATGATCTATTTATGGGCTGTCTCTCACAGTTTTAAAAACCCCGTTGTGGACATGAGGTAGAAGCAGCCTTTTTGTGAGCCATGGCCTGGCAGTCGGAGGGAGGGAGGGGAGGGGGAGAAGGGGAGGTAGAGGGGGGATGGAGTGTTTCTACAGTAACTGATGTTGGACTCCAGGTGTTACTCATTATGATTTCAGGGAGGAGGTGGGGGATGGAAAATAATGTAAATACTTATTATTTGTAATCATACGGTATCTTTATACCACTTTTAGCACATGCTCATTAATACCCTGTTACCTTTAGACATGCATCTGCCAAGACTGGCTCAGAATGTAGATTCTGGGATCCCCATTGCTTGGATTTGATGTCACTGTGTAAAAGCCCAAGGATGGCGTTCTGGACAGAGGTTTGCCAAGCACCTTGTGTGTGAACACAGCAAATGAAAGTGAGGTCCGATGCCTGCCTTCCTGGATCTTGCATTCTAGGGGTGGCATCTCTCAAGCCCACGGTCTGGAGGTTCTCTTCTAAGTGCCTCTTGGACGTGGCCATCCTTAGCCTTCTTCCTCATACATGCTTTCACCCTTCCCCTCTTCTTCTTTCCAACCCAGTGCTCCCATCTTCTGTCCCAATCTCTCTTTGCTTCTTGAAAGCCTGCAGTGGCTTTAGATAAGGCTACGAGATAAGACTCACCCTCTCCCTCCTGCAGTTCTCGTGATCCCTGTCTTCTTCACTTGTCAGGTGGGCCTGGCTCATGCAGTAAGCACGTATCCTCTTCCTTTGCCGGGTTGCTTTATACTGTTTTACAGTGTTCTTTCCTGGCTAGGTGTCTAGTCTCCCCAAGAGGACTGGCACCGTGGTTTATCCTGTTACTCCTGCGCAGTGCTTTGCGAAAAGTCAGTGCTCATTAACTGTGCAGAGCATCTCTTTCACATTGCCCTGCCAAGCCGGTCACTTTTTCAGTAGATTAAGCGCTCTACTTCCCAACTCTGCAAGCACAGCTTCTACTCACTCAGACTTCCAGCTGGGCCTTGGGTATGGACCCAGCTGCCCTTCTTTGTCCCATTTCTGTCTCTCTCAGATCTACCAGTCGTCCCCTCCATGGCAGGTTCAGGCCTGCTCCAGTCTTGAGCAACTCAGATGAAGGCCAAACATGTTGGGAAACAGCATGTATGCGTGTTACGAGCCAGCCGGGAGTCAGGCAGACCTGGGCCAGAGGCCCAGGTGTGCTGGGTGCTGGCTGTGTTACTTAGGTAAGTGCATTCATCACTCATTCTGTTTCTTTCATCACCTGAAAACTAGAGATGTGTATGATGCTGGATTCCCAAGATGGTTGAGGGAGACCTGTGATTAGGCATGCACGGCACCTCGCATGGTGCCCGTTAGACCTAGACTGTAGCTCCAGTGATGGTGTGGTGATGATGGAGCACATACAGATACAGGAGCTTCTGTTGCCTGTCTCCTCCTCAGGTCTGTGACTCCCTTTCCTTAGATCATTCCTCCCTGGTTCTGATTGGTTACTCTATGAAACAAGCAAGGCTATCGGAAGGCATCGGAAGCCTTACCTTTTACTGCTAGTTCCCTTTCCTGACTGGATCTGCCCTAGTCACTCAGCTCAGCCACCATGGGCTGAATCTTTGTGAAGACAAATCACTTAAGCTCAACCTCATCACTCACTTGGGCTTCCTGAGCTTCCACCTCACACCTTCCACTGAACCTGAACAGGGCCCATTTCTGCCTGTCTCCTCCCCCCACTTTTACTCTTCTTTTGCCCTGCTGGCTACCCCCTCCAGCTATTGAGACTGTGGGAGTGCCCTCCTTCCCACTGAGCTCCAGAGCTCTCTCTCCCGCCTCATTTTTCAGCAACCCATCATCATTCCTTGCCCTCCCTTCCCCTTTACTCACTTTCTCCTCCCTGCCAAAAATCACATTGGAGAAGCTTGTCTGCGAGGGTTCCATTCAACTTGTTCTACATTAATGCTCCACTACGGTGACCCACTGCTGAGTCTTTCACTTGTAATGTAATCTAATAATTTACATGCACTTTGCAAGCAATACTCTCAGAGACTCACAACCTGCTTGAAATTGCTCTGCTGTTACAGTAGTTGAGCTGATGAGAGAGAGCAGTGTGAGAAAGAGTAGTTATGGGTGCCACAGTGGTACTGGGTAAACCCAGGAAAATAATGTTAGCATAAGGTGAGAGTGTGCTGATGGATTATAATATCCTTTCTTAGAGAATCAATTAAGCTTGCTGAGGGTCTTGTATTGATTTTGGCTTATAATTGGACGAGGCTGGGTCAAAGTATAGTTAGGTAGAAGCATTAGCAAGGAAGAGGAAATGAAGCAAGAGTGGAAACCTGTCTTTCTGGGATGCTGTGAAAATATTTTAGTTTCAATATCTTATATGACTTTTACAGAATTAATTGACACTCTGATTAGGTTGTTTTATTTCTTTACTCAGAGATGTTGGAAGCCAGTTCTAATATCCAGTAGTCATGAAAATAGAGTAATGCTGTAGTAATAGTGCCATTGTAAAGTGAATTGCACCATTAATTACGCATCTATTTTGTCTAATTTGTATTGTGATTGTGTGGGTAATACACACATTTACAGGCATAGAGTAGCTGGTTTTTAAGAAACAGACTCTAGCTGAGAAGCCCCAATCCTATAATATTGAACAGTTAGTGAAAATAAGCCATTGTTCAGTGAAGAAGTTCATTTTTATATATATATATTTTTAAAGATTTTATTTATTCATGAGAGAGAGAAAGAGGCAGAGACACAGGTAGAGGGAGGAGCAGGCTCTGTGCCCAATGTGGGACACTATCTTGGGACCCCAGGATCACACCCTGAGCCAAGGGCAGACACTCAACCACCCAGGCATCCCGACATCTTTATATATTTAAATGTGAATGTATATCTATGTATATATATACACACACACACACGTGTCCATATACATATATGCACAGGCACACACATATATTGTGCCAGTCAAGCAAATCAAGAAAATACATGATAGGGGATCCCTGGGTGGCTCGGCAGTTCAGCGCCTGTCTTTGGCCCCAGGTGTGATCCTGGGGTCCCGGGATCGAGTTCCGCGTCGGGCTCCTGGCATGGAGCCTGCTTCTCCCTCTGCCTGTGTCTCTGCCTCTCTCTCTCTCTCTCATGGGTAAATAAAATCTTAAAAAAAAAAGAAAATACATGATGACTGTGGCATAAAAATGTTTGCCTTCATTTGTCTTTTAGCAAGTTGACTAGCCTGCATGGGGAGAGATGTCAGTTATGGCAGGCCGAGTCAATATGGTATCAAGGACAGGGTTTGAAAACAAGGGTTTGTGCATTTGTTTCAAAATCTTGGTCGTTATTACCATGCCCAAGAACCTCTGTTAATTGATATCTCTCAGGTTGGGGGAAGAACCATTAAAATCCAGGAATTAGGGTCATTTTATTTTGTCACTTGTCTCCCAGGGTAGGATACTGGCCAAAGAACTTCTTCCACAGCACAAAGATAGAGGCATATTTTTATTCCTCAAGTCATTAGCTAACCCTAGAGCAGAGACAGGATCTAAGAAGGCAGCATTCAGTGTGGGTGCTCCCAGTGGAACATGTAAATTAGAAAGTCCATGACTCTGTTACACTTTGCCATGGTACCAGTGACTTTATCCCTTCATTCCTGGAAGCGCTGATATGGGGTGGGGTTGTTTGGCATTATGTGTGAGTTTCTAACTATTAGAGTGGTATTTCCAGGGAACTTCTGAAGACTTAACCTGGGGCATCTCAGGCTGAATTGCTGCCTCCAAGACTTTGTTCCCATATTTTTATGCAGTGGCCATCTGGAAGGGATTTTATTGTAGTCTCCATGTCTCCCCTCCCCCTGCTCCAAAGTTTTGCTTTTGTAGCATTGTCAATTAGTACCACCATCTGGTAATCTAGAACCTCGGAAGGACCTCATCCAAAGAGGTGAGATTATATTAAGTTTAGAATATATTTAACTTTCATATATATAATGCTTCCTCTGATGACTAAAATGTTGAAAGTAAATCTGCATCATAAACAACTGTGCCCTGCTGTATTATAGATCAACAATATTGTCTTTAAACTTTGAGCATTTGAAGAGAGAACACACAGTGTCAATGCCTGCCATGTGGATTAAGAATATATTTAGTGAAAAAAAAATATATTTAGTGGAGAAATTTTATTGCAAACCTCAATGAAAAAAAAATCAGTATCATATTGTGCCTAAAAATAGGTTACAATGAAAATTACCATGGTGTTTGACAACATGCCTTTATTAATTAGTTTTTTCTATTATTTTTTAGTAGCAAACACACTCTGGTTTGATCACTCATTAGTTACAGTCCTTACTGAATTCATATTTTGCCGCTTCGGTGTATTTATCTTTCCACTGGTCTTCAGTTCCTGGAGGGGCGTTGTCGTAGATTGTCTTCAGTCTTTTGTCCCATTTCTCTGTCACTTGGGCATTCA